TCCTGCTGTGGTTCAAGTAATAAACAGCAAAGAAAGTTTAAATTGAGACTTACCACGGGGCACCATATATTCGGAATCCTTTAACTGTTACCTCTGAATCTTGTAAGTAAATACTATTTGTCAGGAGTGACTGAACATTGTCAAAGTCCTCTGGTTTCAATTTGGACACAGAGGGAAAGCGGTAGTAATCTTGTTTAACAAGGTCTGCCATGAATTCCTTATCAAATGTCAGTTCATGATTCCCAGCAATCACTATTTTATATTCATATGGTAGGTTTCCTGAAATAACAAAAAAGAGGACTTAATTAGCACATTTTCCTCCCACACCAGCATTGCCGGCACAATAAGTAGACAGCTAGCAGTGACAGAATTAAATATCCAACATCTGTGTGCATCTCCATGTTGAGCAGAAGTTACTAATGCTGCTTCTCTTCCACTGAACGAAACTGTGTTAAAATGTGAAGTAACATCATACAAAGCAATGTCATAATAAAAAGCATGCACTGCAGAGTTAAACAAAACAAGCTGGTAGGCACAAATCAGCTCTAAAGGTGGCATAAACCACTGCTGCTCTCTTGCTTTCAACCGAGGACACACTGCTTTAGATGAGTCAAAGATGTGACACAGAGACCTACCACTTAATTCACGGGACTGAATGAAGCCCACGGGAGTGACCCGCAGTGGGGTACCTGGGGTGGCCGAGTCAGCGGTCGGACCAGAGACTGCACTATGCCTCAAGTACATCATCAGGGTACCAGGCACGGGGCACTGAATTAGGCTGCTGCTGCTGTTTTTTACATCATGCCATTATTTGGATTAATTTGTGTTCAAGTGGCGTTTATTCCAGACCTAGCCTGTTCTCCAAAGCCTCAATTCACTTGCAATGGACTTTTACTTTATTATTATTATTCAGTTTATGGTAGTATCTCATTTCTGTAAGAAGTACACATGTAGAAGAAACCATGAAACTCTGGCAAATAAGACACAAGGTAGGAAAAAGGAAATGTGGTTAATTAATTTACCATGAGGGTCAGAGATAAAGAATACAGGCTTGATCATTACATTTCACGGCATCTATTTCCACTGTTTGGAAGCAGGCATGGATCAGGCCCACTGAGCCAGATTTTTGGAGTTCAAAGACAGATTTTGAAGTACTTGGTATGAACAATCAGTGCCAGATCTTCCAAATAAACGTACTGGGTGCTGAGCTCCCTTAAAAATACGGTCTCATACTGTGGCGTCTTCACAGAAGTTAGGTTCTTTTACAAAATCTGTCCCACTGTGACTTGCCAAAAATCATACATGAGTTTGAATCAAAGCTAACTTCTATTGTCTTCACCATAAGCCTGATTTCCTAGTCTTATACCAAAATTCATTTTGGTGTTTATTCCTAATAATAATTTAGAAAAGGTTGGTTTTGTTGGGTTTGGGGTTTTTTTATTTGTTTGTGGGTTTTTTTGATTGGGTTTTTTTTTGTTTTGGTTTGGTTTTTTTCCCAATAAAGGCCACCAAATGTATGTGGAAATCTATGGGTCCATCTTCCAGTTCTGGTACTCCCAACATCTGCCCCAAGGAACACAGGATCAGATGCTACATATTTCTCGTGAATACAGCTCTCCTAAATAGATGTGGATTTGCTAGTTTAAAACTTGTCTTTCAACTTTCAAAACTGTTTGGTTTTGTGGTTTGTCTTTTTTTTTTTTTTAAAGTAAGTTTCAAAGTAAAGCTGTAATTATTTACAAGATTAACTTCCCCCTAAATAGGACTTACAGGCAACCAGTCAAAACCCTCTGCTTTTCACTATTTACAGCATGGAAACAGGAATTACACAAGACATATATACAAACATCATCTTTGCAAAATTAGTTAATTCTGGATAGAAAACCAAAAAGCTACAAATTACCTGAAAAAAAAACAAGCAGACATCTTCATAGACACCTCATATCTGAACAAAATGCAGATCATACATATTCATAACTCTATGTGGTGCTGCATTAGATTAAAAGCTGGGGGAGATGCAATAAATGCTTCTCTACAGTTTATGCCTCCCTCCTTTCCCTCTTCCCTCCCCTTCCCCATCTCTGCTGCACGCTGTTCTGCAATTCATTTTTATTTAAAAACTCGATGTGGCAGGTAACTACAATTCCTGCTCTCTGTGACTCCTGGGCACAAGGTAAAATTGCTATTTTCTCCTCTCTCAGGAAACATAAAAGATACCAGCGGCATGAAATTTGATACACTTGTCATAACTATCAATCCCCCAAAACAAGCTAGATATGATAAAATTCTTGGAGAAGTAGGATGGAGAAGTTAAATTCAGGTTTCTGCCAAGTTATCAACATTTGCCAGCTTTAGCAGAGAAAACTTCTCATCCTACTGGATAAATGTCCAAGTTTTACACTTTCTTCCATTTATTCTGATAGACTTCAAAATCAGCGCATTTTGCTGATATTATGTCCAATTAAGTCTGGAACATTTTTCCTTGAAGTCAGTGGTTTCTTATCTTGACACCTTGAAAACGAGGGCTTGCTTTGAAGACACACAAGACGTGAAAAGACATACCAATGGTAGCATCAGTGATTATTAAAGCATATCAATGTAACATTACACGTATGTTATATAAGCACCTGAAATCAGTATGGAAAACCAAACAGTATTTACTGCAATTGGTGTCAAGACAGTCATTGATTTTCTTAAGACTAAGGAGAGGCTCTGCTTGGTTAGCTCCTGAGAGCGAGGAAGGCACCGGGGAGGGCCTGGGAGAGAACAGCCTCCCCCCCGGTGCCCGGGGAGCTCAGGACATGGCCCCACCAATGAAACCTAAGGACCAACACCAGAACTGAGGAATAAGGCAAAACAGGTCTCGGAGGAGAAACCCCACGGGGACCAGAGCTCATCAACATCTACTCATAAGCTCTAGGTCAGCGGTGCTGCACACCCATGGCCTGCGAGCTGGAGCGTAACCAGCGCTGACTGTGGGTGTAATGGCCACAGACCCAGGTCCCCATCCAGCAATGAGATGAGATGTGCTTCACTCCAAATTTGTACATACTCTTTAATATCTACCATAGGATGGGCACCAAGGTCTGACCTGGCTGCTCACCTAGTTCCCTGACTTCATAACCAGTCACATTTTGCTTTCCTTTTCTGGAGCTGGCTCGGGAGCTAGTGATGAGCAACACCAAACAAAGGGGAGCAGCAAGAAGTCATCTCATCCATTTCTTTCCTCTTCCCTGAGGAAAGACTATACAGCGCTAATCACCGTAATAAATTACCTGCAATCAGATTAGCTCTTTATTCATTGCATTCAGGTTTTCCCTTCCTGAAAGGCCCTGTGGCAGTGCACAACATTCATTCTCTCTGATACAATTTATGAAATATTTTGGCCTGTTTTCTTTTGGTAGTCCTGCCCTTTGTCTATAATCTACTGACCTTCTGTGTTTAATATGGAAGCATAAAGTCACACACAAAAATCTCCTACTCCACAGTATTATAGTTTCATCTTGACCAGATTAATCTCTGGGTAGCTACATCCATGCTGTCTGTGCAGAGACAGACACTGTAGCACAATACACAGGTTGAAAGGCATTTCCTCATTTTCCTTTACTAAATTTTTGTTAGCTACATTTGGTATTTATTAGTCTAATTTCCCAACTATTAAATTTTCCATCCTGCATCAGTAATATTATTAATTCTAATTTATACTGTGAATCTGGAAAACAGATAGAAGAATCGCTTTCCAAACTAGGAAGAGAGTTTGATCTGTTTACTGGGACGAGCACTTCAGAAATCCCAATTATCAACTCCCAGGGAGTTAAACCGCATTTAATTTAAAAATACTTAAATGTTTAACAGGTGAGAACAAAAGGCTAAAATCACAGCTACCAAAAATCATTAGGGCACCAAGTCTATGAAGCAGAGTCACTTTTACTGGAGTATTTTAAATCCCATATATTTATGTGTGTATATATACACACACATAGGGCGTGTCTGCACATGTGTATCTTCAAAACATATTTATATTATTTTGGTTAAGATGTTTTTCAACATCTGCCCTCAACAGTAGAAGCAAGGGCACAATGTAATCATTGATCAAGAAAATACTGCAATCAGACAAGTTGTTCTCTTCTGGAAAACAAAAGGTCGGTGTCACTCTTGCTCAAATAAAAGCAGAAATAGTTAACTGTGATCAACTTGTAAAAACATAATTGTTTACAGTAAATACATTAATCTGGGAGTCTCAGAAAATTTCTGCGACTTCTCCTTTTAACAAGCCAACCCTCAAGCTATAGTCCCACATACCTTTGTCCTCCAAGCTTTCATCCTCACTCCTGTGCCACCTCGCCTCTTAGCCAACACAAGGATTTGGTGGCCGCAGAGCACAGTGGATCACAAAACTGATCCAGCTGAAAACTGATGTAGCGACAAAGATATGAGGCTCTGTGAACGCTGGCAACGCAGGACTTCTTTAGGTGGCTACAACCACTTACATCACTTTCAAGTGTTAGCTGAACAACAGGCTGACTTTAAATATATATATTACATGGGACAAGGGGGGAAGCTCAGGCAAGTGCAGGGTTATTGGGTTTGTGGTTGTGTTTTTTTTAAACCTACATAAGTAGGTGTTCCAGTGGGTTTTTTTTAAGTTCACCTTAAGTACTTGATCCTAGGAGTCCTTAATTTGTTGAATCGTTCTCGTTTTAATGGCATGCTTCTTACAAGTACAATTTAGTCACACAACCTAAGTTCTGTAGAGCTGCCAGACATGAAAAGGAGTCTGACTGGCAATGAAAGTTAACTGCTGAGTCCCTATAAAAACAGAAAATCACATTATTTTTTTGACTACTGTTACCTATAAAACCCACAGGGAAGTAGAGGAGTAAGAAATAATGTGATACTAGCTGTCTATGTAGTGGTAGAAACCTGTATTTACACACAAATGCTATGCAGGCGCTTTTGATGTGAAGCTCTGAATATGCACACACATGCATTAACTATTCAAACCGCACAACAATTCCATGAAACGTGAAGCGTTTCCATGCCCATTTCATAGCCTCATAGACCCTTTGGCCATATGTTGAGAAATGGGCTGAGAAACCTTGAAGAATAAATCTTAGTCCCTTCAAACAGAGGGAAATCTGTATAAGCGAGATGCCTGTGCAAGCGAATAATCTCAAATTTATGGTATACCATATATGCTTCAAAAGTGCAAAACTGGTCATGGAGCATTCCCTTATAACCAATCACATACACGTCCAGAGACAGACACTGAAGGAGCA